ACCTTCTGTAACCTTCTGTAACCTCCTGTAACCTCCTGTAACCTCCTGTAACCTCCTGTAACCTCCTGTAACCTCCTGTAACCTCCTGTAACTTTCTGTAACCTTCTGTAACCTTCTGTAACCTCCTTTAACCTCCTGTAACCTCCTGTAGCTTCCTGTAACCTCCTGTCACCTCCTGTAACCTTCTGTAACCTCCTGTAACCTTCTGTAACCTCCTGTAACCTCCTGTAGCTTCCTGTAACCTCCTGTAACCTCCTGTAACCTCCTGTAACCTTCTGTAACCTTCTGTAACCTCCTGGAACCTCCTGTAACCTTCTGTAACCTCCTGTAACCTTCTGTAACCTCCTGTAACCTCTGTAACCTCCTGTAACCTCCTGTAACCTGTAACCTCCTGTAACCTCCTGTAACCTCGTGTAACCTCCTGTAACCTCCTGTAACCTCCTGTAACCTCCTGTAACCTTCTGTAACCTCCTGTAACCTCCTGTAACCTCCTGTAACCTCCTGTAACCTCCTGTAACCTCCTGTAACCTCCTGCAACCTGTAACCTCCTGTAACCTCCTGTAACCTCCTGTAACCTTCTGTAACCTCGTGTAACCTCGTGTAACCTCCTGTAACCTCCTGTAACCTCCTGTAACCTCCTGTAACCTTCTGTAACCTCCTGTAACCTCCTGTAACCTCCTGTAACCTCCTGTAACCTCCTGTAACCTCCTGTAACCTCCTGTAACCTCCTGTAACCTCCTGTAACCTTCTGTAACCTCCTGTAACCTCCTGTAACCTCCTGTAACCTCCTGTAACCTCTGTAACCTCCTGTAACCTCCTGTAACCTCCTGTAACCTCCTGTAACCTCCTGTAACCTCCTGTAACCTCTGTAACCTCCTGTAACCTCCTGTAACCTCCTGTAACCTCTGAAACCTTCTGTGACCTCCTGTAACCTCCTGTAACATCCTGTAACATCCTGAAACCTCCTGTAACCTCCTGTAACCTCTGTAACCTCCTATAACCTCCTATAACCTCCTGTAACCTCCTGTAACCTCCTGTAACCTCTGTAAAGTCCTGTAACCTCCTGTAATATCTGTAACCTCTGTAACCTCCTGTAACCTCCTGTAACCTCTGTAACCTCCTGTAACCTCCTGTAACCTCTGTAACCTCCTATAACCTCCTGTAACCTCTGTAACCTCCTGTAACCTCATTCTTTTCTGAGTCGGAATTACATTCCTGAACAGAAAAAAAAATCATTGCAGATTTTTAGGAGTATTGTATAATCTTGTGGATTTTTTCTGTTTTATATATATATATATATATATATATATATATATTATAAATATATATATATATTATATATAATATATATATATATATATATATATATATATATAATATATATGAGATAAATAAAAAGCGAGCAAGAAAACGCAGCTAAAATTAAAAGAACTTGAGGACTCTCAGTTTAAACCAAAAACTGTCCATTTAAACGTAATTACACCAGACAAGTTCATTACAGGAGTAAAACAGAGAAGGAAATAGGTATATATCTCAATAAAGAATTAGCTAACTGAACGAGACTTGTGAAGGTGCAGCCGAAAGAAGAGAAAATGAAAGAAATATCAAACCTGTCTAACCTGACCATAGCCCCAAAAATTGCAAATATTCAGGTAAACAGAAATATAGTTAGATTATCATACATAGCAGCATATGTGTAGATAACCTAGGATAACCCAATAAAAAGTCAGTGTTGTTATTTTTGTTGTTATTGGCAGTACTGAGGCGAAAAATTAATTAAGAAATGAGAGGGCATATTTACCTGTTTATCTCCAGAGTAGTGAGAACTTTGGCAGGCAGCCAGTGACTCTGATAACACAAGATCACAGCCGCTATGCTACCTGGAGGAAACACAGGGAGAGAAGCGGAGGCTGGCCGCAGAGATCAAGCATCATCCATCTTGACTTCTCATATGCCGTCTCTTAGGGTTTAGCGCTTAGTTATGATTATATTAATAACGACGGCTCTTACATCGTCTCCACGCTAGTCGTAACATCATTGTCCTAAGACAAGAATGTAATTATTTAAATGTATAACTGAGCAGGAGAACATCTGACCTGGAGTAGCGTCATCACGACATTTCAGGGGAGTCACGCTCACTCTACTGGAAATCGAATCACAAAACGGGTTAGGCTTGAACCCACGGCACTATCTATTGCTGATAAGACAAACTGCAAATCACGGAAACTCGTGGAGCTAGCTGGCCGAGTTGTTTACGCACTGGCCTGTGAGTTTTAAGTCTCGTTTGTAAGGAGTTCAAACACCATCCGTTCCATGATTTGTTTGCAGTCGTGTTATTACGATTTCGTGAGTCGAGATAAATGGTACTCCTGGTCCCTAACAGTCCCACACCTGCTTACAACAATAACCATATCAAATATAATGTACAGACTCGCATATTGAAGACTGTCGTCCTTCGGGAGAAGAGAATACAGCCTAGTATAACATCTTAACACTGCCG